TTTCACTTACCATGTACATGGATCACCATGGAATATATCAGCAAGGAACACATTGTCTTATTTCACTTACCATGTACATGGATCACCATGGAATATATCAGCAGAGAATACATTGTCTTATTTCACTTACCATGTACATGGATCACCATGGAATATATTAGCAAGGAACACATTGTCTTATTTCACTTACCATGTACATGGATCACCATGGAATATATCAGCAAGAAACACATTGTCTTATTTCACTTACCATGTACATGGATCACCATGGAATATATCAGCAGAGAATACATTGTCTTATTTCACTTACCATGTACATGGATCACCATGGAATATATCAGCAAGGAACACATTGTCTTATTTCACTTACCATGTACATGGATCACCATGGAATATATCAGCAGAGAATACATTGTCTTATTTCACTTACCATGTACATGGATCACCATGGAATATATTAGCAAGGAACACATTGTCTTATTTCACTTACCATGTACATGGATCACCATGGAATATATCAGCAAGAAACACATTGTCTTATTTCACTTACCATGTACATGGATCACCATGGAATATATCAGCAGAGAATACATTGTCTTATTTCACTTACCATGTACATGGATCACCATGGAATATATCGGCAAGGAACACATTGTCTTATTTCACTTACCATGTACATGGATCACCATGGAATATATCAGCAAGGAACACATTGGCAAAATGTATAACTAATGCACCCAAGGCTTGTTTTGATGTGTCATAAAACCTAAAAAAAATACAACATATTTTCTTAATTAACATTACAAATGCACCACCATGCTTAGCAACCAGTCCATTCATTGACTACCATGCTTGAAATAATACAATTAATAGAAATTGAAAAACTGTTGCAGACCCAAGTACACTAAAAAAAACACTTGATCTCAAAAAGTGTCATTGCATGCAGTCTGTCATGTCATGTCAGTACATCACTAACTAATAATTAACTGAGAAATCTCTATTGTATATTTTGGCATTATTTTTGCACAACAAACAGTCAATGTAGTAGTTTAGCTCTAATAATCCTGGTAAAATAAAATAGTGACCGTATTACAGTACAGACGTCATATCTAATATTTATATCAGCAGGCTAATAATACTGATGTAAAAAAATATTTGTGCTTTGATTTTTCATTCTAAAATACATAACAATTATTTCTTGTCCACTACAATAATGCCGGTAATACTAAGAGTAATCACAGCCATATAAATTTTGTGAAAAGTGAAACAAATGTACAAATAATATGAACAAATTAACAAAATTACATGCTAATTTGTAAGAAAATTAGCCACCATCTTTTACCAAAATCCTGGAGACAACAATGAGAGAGTAATTGCAATGTCATTAACTTATATTTATTCCAAGCAAAATCAGTTGACAACATTCCATTTGTCAGTACAAAATGTATAATGACACAGTACAGGACTACTACTACCGTATTACCCTGGGTACGCGCCCCTCCCTGGGCAAGCGCCCACCCCCTGTTTTCACAAAAGTTACGTGTTGGGGACATCCTCGGTTAAATGCCCAGGAATCATCATCTTTAGCCAAGAAAGGGGTCAACAATAAAGTTTTATTTGTCAAAAACGAACGTGTTCGATTTATTTAAATAGTGTGTTTGTTACGGTAGTTCTCTTTTTGGAATGTGTGGTGGCCCTGAAAAGGGCCACTTTATTTGTGTTTTTACGTAAAAACTCATTGGAACTTAACGACGTAAGATGAACCACGCAGCATGTGGCGCACACGTTCTGCTTTCTCTTCATTTACGATGAATCCAATATTGCAACGATCCATACCTTGGTGAGTGGTTTGAAGCACTTAGCCTTGGTTTCAAAACGTAGTATTTCGCTGACTGTGAATCCATAACGGGAGCTAGTACGTTTGAGACATCACGTCGTAAACTTGCTACTTTCTTTCCATCCTTCATCACAGCTATGGCATTACGGTCATGTGGATTATTTTTCTGTCGTTGAAGAAAAAACATTTTGCCGACCTCAAGTCCATTACGATAACCATAATGAGGCATGCCGACGATGGGAACTTGTTGCATCATCGTTATTTTTGTAATTTTGTCACGTGTGTGGGTGCGTGAATAAATCATGTTAATGAGGTCGACCAGAGTTTATTTTCAGTCTGTTTTTTATGTATCGCCATTTGGATATGTTTATGTATTCACAATAGTTTGTAAACATTTCACATCAGTAATAAAAGGTTTATTTGTTTCATAACCCTGTCTGCTATTCTTCAGTAATTACGATGCGATGTATCAATACGTGCGTGAACAAAATTATACTAATGAGGTCATCGCCATCTTGGATTACAAGCGGTAGTTTTTCCCGGCCGTTTCGACTTGCATGCACTGATCACGGTTACTAAAAAAGTAACCGTGCATTGATTACAATACTTACCATACTTTGTAGCCAATTTCAGTGAGTACTGTGAAATACTTTATTTTCGCTGGAATTAATTTTCGCTGAAAAGGCTTTTTGGGCCTTTTGCTTGGAATTTATTTTCACTGATTTTGGGTGAGTTCAATGTGAAATATAGGAAAAAAAGTATATTCGCTGGATTTTATTTTCACGGAATCATCTCTTCAGCGAAAATAGCGAAAATAAATTCCAAGTGAAAATAAAGTATTCGACAGTAATACAACTTCATTCGCTAACATAAAACAAGTTTTATTCTTGAAATTCGACCCCGTGTCTTAGTGTTCTCACAGTTCTTGACCGAGTGCTCATGTTTATTGAAACCTCGCATAAATCAAGAAATAAGTACGTGTACAAAGTGTACGAAAGCATTCCTTTATTTGACCTTATCATACGATCACAAAAACAACTTTTTAAAATCTTTTTTGGGGTGGTTCTCGGGTAAGCGCCCACCCCCATTTTCCCCCGATTTTGTATGTTCAGGCCCCTGGGCGCGTGCCCGGGGTAATACAGTGTATTTACTAGGTATATGCATCATAAATGCCTGTAATATGGCGTTTATGACAACATTTACATGTGTATTTAACTTTTCCTGAGTAGAGATATTCAATAAAAATCATCTCTTGTGAAATTAAAACTGTTTAGTGTTACCAGCCAAGTAAAAATGAAACCTTACCAAATTCTCCAGGGTCTTCTTTCAATTTTAGGTTCTCGAAGACGTTTCACTGCAAAGATAAATACAAAATAATGTACATTAGTTCATTTCAAAGCTGGGGTATAAAACCAATAGAAAACACTATATGCACATGCATGGCACAGTCCCCGTTAGTTATCAAATTTAAGATATATAGTTTTGTTTATAGTAATATAGCTGGAATATAACCATGTTAGGAAAATGATTTTTTAACATTAAAATGATTGACATTTGTATCTGATCGTCAAACAAGTACTTGTCCATATTGAGAGATATTGCTCCGGAACAGCATTCAAAATCAGCCATTTTGAATACATGTATATATATATAACATGATGTATAATGAATATATACAATTTGAATATAATCACTTATCAGTCAAAGCATTTAAGAGATATGGCTCTAGAAGCCCAATCATTAAAACAAAATCAGCCATTTTGAATACAATCTGAAAAATATAATGATGTGCATCAGGAACCTGTAATGTCTAATGTATGTACCAAGTTTGAACGAAATTCATCCATAAATGCCAGAAATGCTTGATATTTGATGATTTTTTAGCACAAAAATGACCACCATTCGGCCATTTTGAATAGGATCATCAAACCAATATACCGGTATCTGTCTATCTATGACACGATGTATAATGAACATTTAAAATTTGAACATAATCAGTGAAAGCAAGTCAGAGATATGGCACGAGAACCACATTCATTAAAACAAAATGGCCGCCAGTCGGCCATTGTGAATCTTATCTGAAAAACAAAATTATTTGCATCAAGGTCTCATAATGTCTAATGTATATACCAAGTTTGAACAAAATCCATCTATAAACAGCCGAGAAATAATTGATTTTTAGAATTTTTTAGCACAAAAATGGCTGCCATTCGGCCATCTTGAATCAGATCGTAAAACAAAATGATGTGCATCAAGGTTCTACGATGTCCAACGTATATACAAGGTTTGAACAAAATCCATTTGTAAACAACCGGGAAATGCTCGATTTTGATGATTTTTAGCACAAAAATGGCTGCCATTCGGCCATCTTGAATCAGATCATGAAACAAATTGACGTGCATATGTATGATATCATGTATGATGTATGTGTGAAGTTTGATTGTGATTGGTCCAGGCATTTTTAAGATACAGGTCCGGACGCACGCACAGACGCACAGAAGTCAAAACACAAGTACCCGTTTTCGGACTGCATCCGAACGGGGACTAATAAGGTTGCGAAAGTTTGCGAAACATGGGGTTTGGTATGTTGTCGAGATATCCCGACTTATTCTTTGTTTTCCTTTGATCGCCAGAAGTTACAATGTGTTTTTTTTCCCATTGAATGTCGCTCATTTATCAGTGTTTTTGTCTTGATGCCATTGTTTTTCTATCCTATAACCAATCCTATAACTTGATCACGTGATCTCCTGAAGTCGTCCGATTGACTCCGATTTGCGTATATTGGCTTATTTTTTAATGCGACGTAATAAACAATCAAAACAAACATTCGACATCACGGCAACTATCATAGTTCAAAGGAAATGAAGTGGTTGTTCTTCCTGTGGTTTATAGTTCCACAGTTACATACATGTATGATTACAAGGTGATGACAGGCACTGTGCAGTATATCAACCACAGCATAATGATAAAAATGTTGACTCAGCAGTTTCCAGTCAAAGAGAGTGATTCTTTAAGGAATTATCATATAATAAAACAATACAATTGCCATGATTGCTAGTCTAGTGATATTGGTAAGCTTCAATAAGAAATATATACTAGGTATGACATTACAGAGATCACAAGATACAGAAACAATTATTGGAATAAAGATGAAAAATGTATGTATGTACTTAAAAATGCAAACAGAATCACATATGCTCTGTTTCCACGGCAGCTAGCATTCTATCAGACCCAAACTACTGCTCCTCCCATTGATTAACAGGAGTTTATCTCCAATACATTTAGATGGTCAGGGCCAAAGGAGAGCCGAGATTTGCCAGAATTCAATTCAGTTCAATCAGAACCGAACGGAAGAGCGACCTCAAATACTTAGTATGAAAACAACATGGCTGAAAACGATTTTGGTGTCATGCTTGTGATGTTGTTTCTTTACATGGCATGGCATGATGCTGGTGAGCTGGGAGAAAAAATAAACAGTCATGAGTCTGACAACGCACTGGTGTTAGGATTTAGGTATCTTATACACAGCAGCTAAAATACGCTAAATGTGTTACAGCCTACTGTCTTGTAATTGATGTGATATGTGTAAAAGTTGTCAACCTAAACCTCATAGGAACACATCACCGTACCATGACCGCTTCTGTTTCCCGTTGAGCTATCAATCTATCCCAGTATTTCTTTACTTTAATAGATATAAGGGTGCGTACCTCTTCGTCAAGCCAGAAATTACGTGAAATTACAAAGAATGTTGTCTCCACCATAAATAAAATGAGAAGTTACTTGAAGAAGACAATTAAGGGCGTGATTCCGGCCAGATAGGGCCTGATACCTATACACAGTCAAAGCTATGTCAGAGCCCAACCCTGTCAGAGTTCAATTCTGAGGGTTTATTCAGAGAGCTGTAATGAGCTCATTACAGTTACCTGGTTTGTTGCAGCCAAACTTGGTTTGAGCCAAGCGCATATACACGGCCATTTTTGCTGGCTCGAGTCGTAGAGCTTGGACAAAATGCTGTTGTGTAAACGTAGCAATAGATGCTTCAAATTAACGAGAGATGTTACAGTGGTGCACCTTGGAACTCGACTGGACATGCACCATTCCAAATTTAAAGCTTAAATTATGTACAAACATGCAACTACCGGTAATACATTCCCAGTACACGCATATTCAATACATACATGTAATTAAATTACATAAATCTACAAACACCATTTCATTCAGAGGGGAATTGCATGTGAGGTCGCTGTTCAAAAAGACCTCAGTCGGAGCTGCTCATTTCTGAATAGATCTCTGTTCTGATCACTTCCAGTACACGCGTATAGCATGGACTGGCGTTCTGAATGTATGACGACTATGTTGGCCAAATGTGGCTTCAGAAATAACAATATCAAAATGCTAGAGAGTCAAGGAATTGCCGAGTCTCGTCACGATGCCCGCCATAATTGGTGATTATTCCTACCGAAAAAAGTGGGTTATCAAACACAGACCTGTATATTTTTTACATTTGCAACATTTATTAAAGGGGAACCGCTCAATCCCATGGATTGCACTAAAGAATCATGGGACACTATTGTTTATGTTGTTTACAATGTTAATCTATCTTTTGTTATCCATTGTTATTTTAATCCAGAAAGTAAATTTGTTGTGAGATTAGGCTTAACTGGAAGGTGCCCCTTTAAAGGGGAACCGCTCAATCCCATGGATTGCACCAAAGAATCATGGGACACTATTGTTTATGTTGTTTACAATGTTAATCTATCTTTTGTTATCCATTGTTATTTTAATCCAGAAAGTAAATTTGTTGTGAAATTAATCTTAACTGGAAGGTGCCCCTTTAAGCATTTAAAATAAAACAGAACATGTTTTTGCCAGTACTAACAACTTTAAATGCCGAAAATCGTGTTTTCTCTACCTGACAAATTATTCATGTATGTTAATGACGTCGGAAAAAGACCAATCACGTCATGCGACACCCTCCCTGATTTCATTGTAAAAATTTCTGCAGGCCTTTAGGTGCAATTTGCATAATTTTATTATTAATCACATTAATCAATAATCGCATTAAGCCAGGAACAGCCACTGGTGGCGCTGTATACAATTGAAACCTATTTACTAGTAGGCTTGCCAATGCGTGCAGTGTAAAAAGCATGTTTTCCAGACACTTGTTAAAACTGGTAATCAGTTTAAAATAATATACATGAGATATGTCTATGACATAACCTTGTTAAAGTTATTAGCACATTGAGTACGCAGTGCGCATGCTTCGGGTCCTTTTTCTATATGGTAAATTACATGTATTAACATGTTTTTAGAAAATTCTCAAGAAATTACCAGTACATACATGTACAGGCAGATCATAATTGGCTTCAAAAAAACATGCTAAAACAGTACATGAAGTCATTACCTGGATAATACAGTATACATAATTGGAGAGTATGAAATAGATTCAGTATACATACATGTATTCATAACTGTATGACTTTAACTATATTAGAGTTCAGACCATGATTGGATTTCCCTACTGAAACTATTACCATCCTCATCTATCAAGAAGATAATTCTCAGAATTTATCAAACTGCATTATGGAAGATGTTTCACCAGACATGCACATACAAGGCATGGAGGTTGATTCACACATGTATATACCCTTGATGGTTTTGGTCAAACACCAAGCAAAATAATTTAATTAATTGGCTATGTGACCCATAAAAGCCCCACATCCTGGTACAAATTCATTACAAACATAAATCTTGTTTTCACAAGAGTAAAAGCTCATGATTCAGAATTTCTGCTCAAACATTTTGCAATCTCTATAATTTTTCTTGCCAATATTTTGGTGCTGTATTTTGATGTACTTTTCTATTATTTTCTTATATATTTTGGTCTAAATTTCAGTTTGCCTATAAATTTTGTGAAAGATGGAAAAAGTCAACTTTGTTTTTCAAAGGGTAAATCCCCATTCCAACTACTGTAAAATACTTTATTTTAGCTGGAATTAATCTTCGCTGAAAAACTTTTTGGGTGTTTTGTATGTAGTTTCTTTTCACTGATTTTTGACAATTTTAATGTACAAGCAGCCTGTTGGCTGAGATAGCTCCGCTGTTAGCAATACACATTTCAATTAAAGAACTGAAGATATCATTAGAAAATGAACAATATGTATAGTATCAAAACAATCAGACTTGCTGTTTTCAACAAGAATTCAAAAATATTACTTTTTACCAAAAATGACAAAAATTATCATTAAAATTAGATAATTGAAGATATCATCACGAAATGAACAAATCTGGGAGAGCTTTACATGTGGTACCTATATGTGTAGTATCATAGTAATCAGACTTGCGGTTTTTAAGAAGTCAAAAATATCACTTTTTACCAAAAATTACAAAAGAATTCACCAAATTAGAGAATTGAAGATATTATCACAAAATGAACAAATCTGAGAAAGGTCTACATGTAGTACCTATATATGTAATATGAAAGCAATAGGACTAGCGGTTTTTAACAAAAAGTCGGAAATATAACTTTTTACCAAAAATGACAAAAATATTCACCAAAATTAGAGAATTGAAGATATCATCATGAAATGAACAAATTTAAGAGAGGTCCACATGTAGTATCTATATATGTAATATCAAAGCAATCGGACTAGCGGTTTTTAACAAGAAGTCAAAAATATCACTTTTCACCAAAAATTACAAAAATATTCACCAAAATTAGAGAATGGAAGATATCATCATGAAATGAACAAATCTAAGAGAAGTCTCACAAGGTACATATACACCAAGTATCAAAGCATTCAGACTTGTAGTTGCCAAGAAGAAGTCAAAAAAGTAAAAGATTGACACGGACACCAGACGACGACAGTCACTCATATGATAATAAAAATATAGGAAAAAAGGTATATTCGCAAGATTTTATTTTCACTGAATCATTTCATCTGCGAAAATAGCGAAAAATAAAATTCCAAGCGAAAATAAAGAATTCTACAGTACATGTATATAATGAACCACAGTCTCTCTCGAACTGTGAATGAACCTAAAACAAAGGCAATCATAATGTCTCTAATTAATGCACAAGCAACACAAGAGCTCCAATAAACCTGCATATTTCATTGTTACAAAATCAATTCCTGCCTATTTAGCAATTTACAACTATGAATATCATAGTCATGCAAAATTTATAATGATTCCTTGAATATTTGTAAAGATTTTCTTGAAAACCTAGATAGATTCAAGGCCAGAGGAGAGAAAGTGGAAGTCCCCCTAGTGAATAAACTCTTGTCAATCACTGTTATGTAACAGTGATGGTAAATAAGCAGCTCCTTTCTATCTATTTATAGAGCAGGCTTTCTGTATTCTGTAATTTCTGTATTTTCTGTATTTTCTGTATTTCTGTACTTGTGCACTGTTTTAACAGACAGCTGAATTTAAATAGCCACACCTCCATAGTTCTGCTCAAGGCATTTGGCAACTGAATAATAATTCATTATTCTAAAATACATGGATCACATATTTGTAGTTGTTATACAATATGGTAGTCAAGGGCAAGGGCTTTGAAAAGGTGGTAGTCAAATGGACTTGAGATCTTCTACAGCATGCCACTAGTGAGCATGTATATGCCATTGCTCAATTTGTAAACAATGCCTTTAAATTCTGAAGACAAATTTGGGTGTGAGATAATTCTATTTGCGCATATGTAACCTACCAGCCTGACAGAAAATATAAAAAGTTGAAAAAGAACAATAGACATGCAACCCCAGAAGAAGTTATTGACATATCAACAGTTTTTAAAAGCCCATATTTGGGTAGCTAGGAGAACTATAAAAACAACTGAGAAAAGTGGATTAGCAGTTAAAAAAAAATGATTTTTTTCCAGAGAAAATGAAGTGAAAAACAGATGGCACACATGTGT